GAACCAGTGTCCCTATTTCATCTTGACATGATGACCAGAGGAGAACACGCAGCTTTGGTGAATAAAAGCTGGGGAACCTCTGCATCCACCCCCTTTTCAGCCAAGACCTCCACAGGACTTCCCACAGAGGTGTGACTTACCTGCCCCCCTCTGTGTTTTATTCACTGAGGGTTAAACACTGATATAACATTAGTGTTCGTGTGGTCCTCAGATGCTCATTGCATTTCCATTAGCAAGTATGACCAAGAGTAATTTAGTGGAATCCTGATGTCTATTAGCTGCTAGCTATTTCAATGAGGGTAAAGAATGATTTAACTAAAGGTTATTGGTTCCTTATTAAGCAAATCATTCAATAAAACATTAATAATGTTTTATTCACCTCATTGATTTGCATCATGAATTGGTCTGAAAACTTTCCAATTTCTTTAAATTAGTGAAAATCTAATTTGATCAGATCCCAAATTCTTCCAGATAAACGTTGGTTTTAAACACAAAATCCATCTTAAACTTTAATATGGTTTCCAACCATGTTTCCCTTCCTCTTTGTACATAGTAGTTAGTTTAGTTTAGTTGAGTTTGACTGGTTTTAGTAAAGAGTGTAAACTGAAATATGCTTGACTTGGAGCTGAATGATTTTGTTAATAAACATATTTTGAACAGAAGTTGTGGTGAATTTATTCCATGTATTAGCAGAATTAATTGTTTGGCCATGATTAGAGCTCGATTCACACTTTCATCTATTGTTCTTCTAACTCACAGCTAGTAGGGCTGTGTGATAAACTTGTTAAGAAATTAAAAGTTAAACTGTGCTTCCTATTTCGTAATAAGATATGTTTTTCTTTTGGAGTAAAAAGCGCCTCGTCTCTGCCACATTTTTATCGGTTTTACATTCTGGTGACCTTTTTTATGCTTCTTCTTCATGTCTTCACGTGTTGGACTCTGTTTCCCATGCTTCATGAAGGTTCATTACAGACTGTAGAGCCATCACATCACTGGGACCTGTCCTCTCAGGTGGGATGGCCTTCCCTCTCTACCAGAAGGCAGTGTCATTGGTACACTTTTATTTCAGAGGCCCGTCTTGGATTACTGCCCTCTTACATTTGTACCTTACTTCCCCAGAAAAGCATGGCTTCTTCTGCCCTGAGATCCAACCATCAGCTGTTGCTCTCTGTTCCTTTTGCCGGAACAGAACTGGGGGAGAAAGCCTTTAGCTACGCAGCTCCTTCTTGGTGGAATATTTTACAAAGAAACTGGAAGTTGACTGAGTTTTTATCTTTAAATGCTTTTCAGTTGAAAGTGAAAAAAATTGAAGCAGCCTCAATGATCTGTAATTGTTTTGATATGTTTTTTATGTACCTGTCATTTAATTTTAATGTATTTGTTTGTTATGTAACTTTGTTGCCTCTTGGCCACGACTCCCTTGAAAAACAGGTTTTTAATCTCAAAGGGATTTTTTTTTCTGGTTAAATAAAGGTTATACATATATAAAAAAAATCCTGCAAAGGCAACCCTAAGCATTAAATGTGATAGAGATGAAATTTCACAGAAGTCCAGGTATTGACTCACCTGTGATGGCATAAAATCTTTATTTTATAGACTGTGTTCAGGCAAGAGACTCAGCATCCGGTTGCATAACATCTCAGGGCCATCCATCCGGTCTGTGACACAGAGAGTAACACATTCCTGCCGGTGGTACAGCAGACGGGTGCTTCCAGGATCCGGCATATATACCAACCAGCCCCTAAAATCCTGTATTGCTTAGTTATAAGTAATGGTAGATACAATCTTATTTTATCAGATGTTTGTCAGTTTTTGTTTTTGCAGACCTAAATAATGTCACTATGAACCTTTAGACTAGAAACATAGATAAATATTTATGGATATATATGTTAATCCTTCCACATGTATGTGTGTAATTTAGCATCACCCGTTATCTTTCTGACAGCAGGTAGAAGCAGAGAATCTCCTGGGAACCGTTCCGTTCACACAGACATCAGATTCCCACCTGACACCAGAGAGTTCAAGGTTTTTTTTCTAAGCAGTTTATTTTGAGATCATTTGGTTTCATACATTTCACAGTTCACTCAATCACTAAGGAAAAGTTTCTCTGAAAGGAGACATAACTTCTGTTGTTGCTAAGCAACAAAGACTCAGTCCTGGCAGCACAACCGTCCAAACATCATTATGGAGACAACAAGCTGTTTACACTTTATAAAAAGTCTCTGGATGCTGATAATTAAACACATTTTCTCAGTATGCAACAGAGCCATCTTGCATGTGCTCCATACTTCATCATGAGGATGACATCACAGCTATTTCTGCGCTCACAGGAAGCACCAAATAGAAACAGGAAGTTGATCAGGAAATCCATCTTCACACTGATGAATTTGAATGTAGATTAAGCTGACTGCAGTCAGAGCCATTTTGACCCAAAGTCAGTACCAGAAAGCCAAGAGAGAGCCTGGTTAGAGCTCATGGAGAGCCCGGATAGGGCTCAGAGAGGGCCCAGTTAGAGCTCAGAGAGAGCCCAGTTAGCGCTCAGGTAGAGCCGAAGTTAGAGCTCAGAGAGAGCCCAGTTAGCGCTCAGGTAGAGCCCAGTTAGAGCCTAGATAGCGGTCAGATAGAGCCAGGTTAGAGCTCAGATAGAGCCCAGTTAGAGCTCAGATAGAGCCCAGTTAGAGCCTAGATAGCGGTCAGATAGAGCCAAGTTAGAGCTCAGATAGAGCCCAGTTAGAGCTCAGATAGAGCCCAGTTAGAGCCCAGTTAGAGCTCAGATAGAGCGTAGATAGCGGTCAGATAGAGCCAAGTTAGAGGTCAGAT